GTTACACACTGGACTTTTAATGTGTAATGTGTAACCATTCAGATATTTTTGAAGGGGACTGGAATGCGTCACAAGCCACTGTGGTCTCCAACAGGCCACACCTTTTCAATAGTGTGGAAATGTATCTCTCTCTTTGAATAAAACCAGGTTTTTGTGTTATTTACGGCAGTCACATGGCACAATAAACAGCAATCAGATAAACTCAATGTAGTTACTCCTCCTAAAAACCCAGACATTCAACCAAAGATTGCCAGTATAAGAAGATGAATAACTACATTTTAAAATTCTACAATTTAAAAAAAGCCCTCAGTAGGAGGTCCATGGCTCATTTTTACTCTTGGACCCCCCATGGGTTAAAGTTTGTGGCCCTGCTGCAACAAATACTGCAATTTACCTCAACATCAAACCGGTACATCAATACACTCCATTGGGCCTCTCTGAAAACTCTACATGTATTAGCGCATTATTTCTGTGTTAAGGTTGGAATCAGGAATCTGTGAAACAATACACGGCTTAGAGAAACACTGTGGACACAAGTTTGCCAAGGAGTGAGAGCTCTTTGTTTTCTCCTCCTCTCATTTAAAGAACTGGTGCGTTTACTTCTCCTCTGCTGCCCTCTCATGGACAGCAAACCCAAAAGTCACCTTGTTAGTCCTCACTAAAGGCTTCTGTCATATCTCTGTGGACCCCAGGGGGTAGTTCTTATTATTCCACTCTGCTCTACAACTTCCTTTCATCCATTTCTAACCCCTCCTCTGCTGCAGACCTTAGATCCTCTTCCAACAGCTGCACCATAGAACCATTATATCTATACCTCGGACACACTCTGAATCAGCTTATTGTGCCTTCAGTCATTCTGGTCCCACTGTCTGGAGTTCTCTACCACATCAACTGCTGCAGCAGTGTACCGTTTTTCACAAGCTTTTAGTTTTTTATTTCAATATAATGGCTTCTGTCACCCTTTTTGGCACAGCAAGTCAGACTGACTATCAGGCACTGAGTTTAAGGTTTTGTTGTCTTCAAAATAAAAGACCATAAACAATAGTCTGTTGTGAGTATGCCTGTTGCCTGTATTTAGCAGCAAACCTGCAGCCTCATTGAATGGTGTTAAAAAGCCAGATCTAAGGAGAGCTCCAAATATAAGGCCCACCAAAATGTCTGAAAGATTGTGAAACAAGTTTTTTGATCTGTATGAACATGTATGATCTAACTTAAACATGGCTCCAGTGACTGCTGTCAAGGTAAACAGCACAAACAGTACACAAGAAAATGCAGTTTGAAAACTCAGTTTCACTCCTCATTTTTCAATTTCCTCACAGTATAAGTTGTATTTCATGTAAATTATGTTCTCAGTATATAAGGTATTGCATACATACAACCTATTATATTTGTTATTGTAGATGCAAGGAGAAAATAACGTTATTTTCTGCTCACCTTATTAGATTTACATGTGTGGTTGCATGTCCCTATCTTGCTGCAGTTGTATAAATATATATATATATATAGATGTACACACCCTAAATTGTTCTCTAAATTCCAAATGAGTCATTCATGTTTTCTTTTTTAATGTTTCATTTTATTGTGTTAAATAATCAAATAACCAGCATCACATTTACTGTTAATCGGGGATGCATCTCATTAGCCAAAATAAATAAAATTCAATTTATTAAGTCTTTAACACAGCCAAGCTATTTCACACGCAGCATATATGTGGCAAATTCATCCATTTTCATGCATTTCTTCTTTTAATATACTGTTTGTAAACATTCAATGTTAAATGGATGTTTTGTGGCATTTCAGTACCAAATAAACTGCTTGTATTCCCAGTGGAAGCTGCCAGGGCTTTTGGTCTGCATGGCTGCACAGACAGCTGATGTTGTATGTTTCTGTATGTGTTACAATGTGATGGCATGACGATGTCACATGAGGGGGCTCCTGTATTTAGGGTGTACCGGATCTTACAGTAAGGTGTTGAATTGTTAGTGGTTAAGAGATATTTGGGGGCTTTTCCAAGCAAATACTGATACATGTAATTGGTTGCAATTAAATCAGCATATATTTCTTCCTACCTTTAATGTGTCCATGTCACCCTTTTTTCATCCCATGGATATTTCTGTAGATCCGCCCCTGCACATGCTGATCCCTAGGTCAAACATGAACCTGGAACGTTTGTCTACTTGATTAAACACTCAGTGAGCTTTTGACTCAAATATTGTGCCACAGATTTATTATTTTACATTGTATTTAATATTATGTACTTATTTTACCAAAACCATTTCACTACTTTCTCAATTAAAGGCTTTTACTTTGTAATCAGTTGAAACGGAAGTGCGCAGCTTATTGTTAGGAGCCTGACATTAGTTGTGGCTCCGGTCAGTTTTCTGTGGAGAGCTGGACACGCAGCAGAGGGCTCATCATGGCACCACTTGGACTAAAAGCGATTGTTGAAGAGAGTAAGAACTGTTTATTTTATTCATTAGAATAATTTTTTTAAATTTTTTTATTGACATGTTGACATATCATTCATAGCTGATGTGATGGTTATTATTCCAAAGCCATGTAAAGTATTGTGTAGGCATAAAGAGCTGTTAACAAACATTCGTTGTGAGATATGAGTGCATGAGCTCGCATTATGTAACGTTTCTAATTATTAATGCTAATATACGACAGTGCAGCTCCTGGTGACACTTGGTTTTATTTCGGGAAGTTCGATGCGCAAAAGACGCACGGACACATCAGAGCAACGCGGCTCGCCAAGTGGTTATATCTCCAGAGTGAATGGTCAATGGGATGATTATACACATATGAAGTTGTGTATTGGTGTTTTGTTACACTTTGATGAAAGTGTCTGTCGTCCATTGTCCGGTTATTGGCGTTTGTCTTTGGTATGAGAGCACTGAGTCCTGGTTTGGTTAAATCCTGCCTCGCTAATCTTTGTGTGTGCGGATTAAGTGCTTTGACATCATTACCGGAGGAAGAGGAGAGATGCAGGAGGAAAGATCTGACAGCCAGTCACAACTAAAGAAGAGTTTGTTGTTACTGTCAGCTGTATGTCAACATCAGCAGCCCATTAGGAAACATTATTATTATAATGTAGATTGACAGACAGTGTCGGTGCTGTATGGTGTCGCCAACGGGACTCAAGATGTGCTTAGTGAGAAAAAAAGATCTTGACAGGAAACAGATGATTCCACCAGAGTGAAAACACTCGTTCCCATTGTGAACTATTTAATGCTACAGCTTCACATAGCTCATGGCTTTATTAATGGTTAAAGACCCCCTCCAGTCTGCTTGTGTGTCTTTCCACATTAAAATCCTTATAAAGTCATCTCCTCCCTGTACCTCATTAAAACGTCCAGAATCTCTGAATATGCAAATGTATTTCTAAAGTTGGCCTGGCTGGACACAAGATGTCCTCCTACTCCACTGTAAAGTCCTATGTCTCGCAGTGGATCCAAACTATCTGTGATGTCACAAACCCTGCTGGTAGGCCCCGCCCCTTGAGCATCACGCTGTAGGGACCTGGATTTTTGACTGGAGGGGGCTTTAAATGTATATATAAAATGTCAATAAGAACACATTCTGGGTGTCTAGGTTGTGTACTATTGCATTAGCAGCTGTTCATCCTTTATATTTGGCAATAATATAAATAGTATTGGTAATTAATCATCTTCTGTTGCCTAATTCTAGAGGATTGTTTGGTCAGAGGGAGTTTTTAGGACTTAGTAAACATTAATGAAGTTATTAGTTACAACTCATAAGCCCTTTAGATGATAGTCTGTGTGGTGTATGGCAACATGTCCCTTAGGCTATGTTCACACTGCAGGCAAAAGTGGCCCAAATCAGACTATTTTGCCCATATGTGACCCATATCTGATTTTTTATGATGAACAGCACAAATCCGATTTTTTCAAATCCGATCAAGGTCACTTTTATATGTGGTTCTAAATCGGATACATATCTGATATTTTTTCAAAGCGACCTCAGATTTCATCCGACTTTTACGTCATTGAGACAGACGTCACAATTCTGCGCTGGGGGAGGTGGGACGTGGCAATATCATAATGATCATCATAATTTTGTCGGCTCCGATTTCACAAATACTTTAAAATTGATACACACGCTGACATGTGTAGCATTCATGTTTACGTCTGTAAACACAGCATGCTGCGTGTGACGTCACATCTGTTTCTACGCATGCGGGTCACTACGGGGCCGTAGACTGTTCATACTGGAGTCTGATGGTGGTTGCATTTAAATTATAATGTGAACAACCACGCAAAAAATTTGTATCACAGAATAAAATTGTAACTGAGCAAAAAGAAAGGAAAATCAAGATATTTACAATCTAGATTGTATTTTCACACTAATCAGACTTATTTGAGTAGTTTGTAAGAATTAATTTTTCTGCAGTGATCAATGATTTCTGCTTGATGCAGACTGTTGAACAAATTCATGGTGATATCAATCAAGTGAAAATGGCTGAAATTTTAGTAAGAATCCATGATAAAGGTTAATTTTACTTGCAAAGTATAGACTGTATATTGTTGACTCAATATGAGGCATGTTAGGATAAATCATGTTTGCAGACAGCAGCAGTCAACAGATCTCCATCAAACAGGACATGTTCAATATTTTGCCTGTCAGAAGTTGTCGAGGGAACAGAGGTTCACTTGGCTCTGGTTGATGCAGAGCGGTTCCATCTGAACAGTCTGACAGTGAGGCAAGTTACTGCAAAGTAGGGTTGCACAATTAATCGCAATATTATCAAAATCACAATATGGCCAAGTGCCATATGCAAATCATAGAAGCTGCAAATATTTGTTTGACAAACAGTGTTATAATGAAGTACTGTAGTTCTGCAGAGATACCCTGACCTACAAATCTTGTTCTCCAGATTTGTTTGGTACAGACCCCAAAACATTTCACATCATGATGATTTTAATAATTTTTTTTCAGTGAAAATGTAATTTGTTATGCAAAAATGATAATTTCCATACTAATCGTGAATCATAATATGATCGCAATATGATGTTTTTACCATATAGTGCAGCCCTATGGCAAAATGATCAGTTTTCATGCTGATTTTTATTTGATCTCACAGTAGGAATAAAGGGAACCTAAAGACAAACTAAGACACAGCAGAATAAGAGGAGCTGTCCTCAGGTATCAAGAGTAGATTTGAAGTGATGACACTGTAAGATACCTGGACTAAAGGTACTTTGGCATTCCTGCAGCATGCAGTACTGTAGACATGGTTACTAAGAATGGACTTTACTGTGAAGCAGGAGACATCTTGTGTTTTTGTGAAGAGAAAAACACACATTATTGTTTCAAGCAGACTATCTGTATACATGTCTGGAGGGGATCTTGAAGCATCTTCCAGCTCATTGTTTTGTGTTTTATGGCCATCAACGCTACTGTTTTGGTTCAGTCTCTCATAAACCTTTAAGCTCCAGGTCTCGCTCCTGATAGAACAAATGGTTCTTTAGCTGCTCTGTGCTGCTGTGTGGTACTGAGCAGGGTGTGTACAGTGGGTTTATCAAAGATTTTCACTGTAAACAGCTGCTGCTGGAAACAGGGTAATAATAATAATAAAGTTGTCAGCCACAAAACCAAAACAAAGTCATAAAAGGGGCTAAAAAGGCTGGGTAGAGCTAAGAGGAACTGCAGAGTTGGGGATAATTCTGTGTGGGTTCATCACTGTGAGTAACACGGTTTGTAAGACACACTGTCATTTGATCCATTGTTCATTTAAAAATATTGATTAGTGCAGCTTAAAATCATCATGCAATGTGGTTCTACAGACACAAGCAACCTGAGCCTGACCTATTTAGAATCAGAATGGAATTCTGACTCAAATGGTTGTTTCCTAGAAATCAGAGTGAGTTCCTGACTACCCAGATGCTTAGTTTTTGAATTTGAATCTGTCCCATTAGGCTTTGAGTATCTGGAGAGTATCTCCAGAATAACACAGACTAGAGAGTTTTTACTAGACAAACATAAAACCCGAACCCAAGATCATAGATTTAATCCCCAGTTATGTTGCTTACAATGGCAATACATTACTATGGTGACCCAATACATCAAAGGGAGTGTTCTCTCACTGATCAGTATCAGCATGTAAAATAATAACAATGAATATTAAAAACATAACCAGGAACATAAGCAATTTGACGATCACAGACTGAATGCATGCTCTGCAAACCGGTGTTCAGGGTCCTATGCAGCCTGCTCTGCAAGCTCTTCCACAGCACCCAGCTCTAATGACGGGCTCTTTGGGCCTTAGAGCAGAAGTGAGAGTACTGGGTCAGACTTAATAATGGTGAACCTGATCAATGTCAGGGTTACACAAGGACAGATGATATAAGAATATTAGGATGTACCCTGACAGACAGGTGTGTCAGCAAAGATTTTTTTAATCAGTCTTTTGAACTGTCACACTGACACATTGGTCTGAATACAAAGGCCTAAAATCACCAGGATCATATTGCTCCTTTAGGACCTTATTTCTGTGAAGTCGTTCAGTATCTTGAAACCTGATGAAGTCCTTAAAATGAACACTCATAGCTGGATTTATTCCAATAGGGACTGTTTTCTGCTGTATTGTTACATCAGGCATGTCCCAGTATTAACATTTTGGCCAACAATATCGCAATATTAGTTTGGTTCCAGAACACTGAATCACCGCAGTATTACTGTTAATGTTGCAAAACAAAATGTCAATGTAGTCTGATTATCAGTTAAAGATTATACAAATGACAACCAGACTCAATAGACAAAACCAGTAATTTTACCATGCACATAGTTGGTACAATACACTTCAAAACCATCTTTGTTAGTCTTTCAACAGTCTTTCCAAGAACTCTGGTATACAAAATAAACCCTTACTTTCCTGAATTAGATGAGAAAATAGCTGTGAAACGGGCTGCTATAGCTTCCATGTGGCCATAAAAGTGTGTCCACTAACAATTGTTGTTTGTGCCACTGACCTCACTGAGGCTCATATTGTTGTTCTGTGTCTGACAGGTAGACCTTTTGTTTAACCAGAAGCAGCAGCACTATCGCTATTGCTCGCCACCAGACTCCATAGACAAAAATCTGACCTTGCGTCAAATCCTTAATTCACTGAAGATGATAAAAACTGTTTCAGTTCCTCTACTCAGCTGCACACAGAGCAGACCAGCTATGGAAACAAACCAGAGATAGTCCATTATATCTTTACATAGATAATAGTTCGGCATAACAAGGAATGAAGAGTCTAAAAAAATGTTCACTGCTAACCTGTTTAAGAGGGCAAAAAAAGACTAAATCAGAGGAAAGACACAGGTGTTACCAGTAGTACTAATTAGGTTCCATTGGGGTC